AAAAAAAAAAAAAAAAAATTGAACAACAACCAGGTACAGTTTAAGTGCCCATAGTCCCAGCTATGCAGGGGGCTGAGGCAGGAGGCTCGCTTGAGCCCAGGAGTTTGAGGCCAACATAGTAAGACTCTGTCTCTGAAAAGGAAAAAAAAAGCACTCTGGGAGGCCCAGGCAAGTGGATTGCCTGAACTCACAGGTTCAAGACCAGCCTGAGCAAGAGCAAGATCCCATCTCTAACAATAGCTGGGCACTGTGGTAGGTGCCTATAGTCCCAGCTAGTTGGGAGGCTAAGGCAAAAAGATCATTTGAGCCCAGAAGTTTGAGGTTGCTGTGAACCAAGATGCCAGGGCACTCTACCAAGGGTGACAAAATAAGACTCTGTCACCACAAAAACAAATAAAAACAACCCAGAAAGTAATGGAACTGAAAAAGAAAAAGCTTCAAAATTGGTGGAGGGGCTGAGCAAGGTGGCTCATGCCTGTAATCCTAGCACTCTAGGAGGCTGAGAGGCCTGAGCTCATAGGTTTGAGATCAACCTGATTAGACCTGATCTCTAAAAACAGCCGAGCATTGTGGTGAGTGCCTGTAGTCCCAGCTACTCAGGAGGCTGAGACAAGGGAACTTCTTGAGCCCAAGACTTTGAGACTGCTGTGAGCTGTGATGCCAAGCACTCTACAGTGAGACTGCCTCAATATAAATAAATAAATAACTGAATGAATGAAAAAAGTAACAAGTAAAATGATCCCATTTCTCCTATATACAGATATACTTCACATGGGTGAGTGGAAAGCCTGGCATTAAGACATACATCAATATGTTAATGGAATTCTCTCTAGAGAAAGGGAAGTATGGATGTTTACTTCTGGCTGATATTACCTATGAGTGTTCTGCAATGAACATGTAGCACATTTTCCCCAATACACACATGCTCATTGTTTTCTCAAGTGGATACACAGAGTAGGATGGATGGGGTGGTGAATAAAAAGAGGACTTATGCATTTCATTTTTAAGTGTTCTGAATATCTGGTGTATTTAAGTGGTACATAATAGTGATTTCAGACCAGTCATGAAATGAAAAGACAGATCCAGGAAGATGTACTCAGAATCTATATAGGCCATTATTTACAATAGTCTCACCAAGCCCTTTCACTCATCCCCAGCATCCACTGACATTTCAGCTTGTGGAATTCTAATTACAGAGTGGTAGGAGGGAGCCATGAATTTTTTATAGTCATAATTGTCCCAGTAATCATTCTCATTAAGATTTTAAACACATTCTTGAAAGAGGCTGCAAATGCAGCTTAGAAAACCTATGCCCACAAAAATTCAAATAATGATGACCTCTCCACTTAATAAGAAATCTCTAATTATTATAGTACACATTTCAAGATGCATAAGAAAGATCTTACCTACAAATTCCCAGCATTTTTTATAATCAGCAGGAAATTTTCGTAAATTCAACCGATAGAAAATCTCTTTATTGGGGGAGCTGAGCCATTCCTGTGCCACCTATACAAAACAAAAAAGCAAATTAAGAAAGCAAAAACATTCCCAAAAGCCATGTTAAATAGCAAAATTTTCCAAAGTAAGCAACAATAAAACCTAGAATCTGAGGTGACAGAAGCTAAAATTTAATTTGTGGCAGTTTAACAAAACTGTCTAAGCACTCTCCTGCCAATTCAGTAGCCATTAACTATATTTGGCTATTTAAATTTAACTAAGATCTTAAAAATTGCTCAAACTAGCCACCCTTCTGTGTGCTCAAGAGCCACCTGTGATTCTGCGCTCATGCTACAGATGCAGAGCATGTCCAGCAATGGATAAAGTCCCGCTGAGATATACTGGTACATGCCGCTTCCCAATCAGACCACCTCACAAGTCTGAAAGGACCTAGATTTGTGGCAAACCTTTGGGATTTCTCACTAACATATCAGCCTGCCAGTTTTAGAATGGCCCATATACCTCCCAATTTGCCAAAGTACCTGTAAGGATTTTCTGAGAAATAAAGAGAACCAACACCATCCTCAAATTTAGAAAGGAGACTGTTAGTGTAAATAAGTTATACTGGCTTGGTGCCCATAGCTCATTTAGGGTGATGGCCACCATACACCGGGGCTGGCAGGTTTGAACACGGCCTGTAGAGACACCTGTAGCTCAGTGGTAAGGTATCAGCACATACACCGAGGCTGGTAGGTTTGAACCTGGCCTGGGGCAGCTAAATCGACAACTGCAACAAAAAAAGCAGCCAGGCGTGTGGTGGGAACCTGTAGTCCTAGCTACTTGTGAGGCTGAGGCAAGAGTATCACTTAAGTCCAAGAGTTGGAGGTTGCTGTGAGCTGTGACGCCACAGCACTCTACCGAGGGTGACATATTAAGACTCTGTCTCAAAAAAAATAAATAAATTAAAAAGTCATATTAGGTTTCAAATTTTTAAAAATTAAATGAATTACCTTTTAGGTCCTAAGAAGGGCCCAAGTTTAGTCATTAAGTGTCTAAATTAACAACTGGCCATCAGTGCCTCTGATGGAATTTATCACCAGAGACTACTGGTACTGAGGTGCTTTTGCACTACAGTTAACCAACTAAGACTCCACCATGATTGTGCTATAGACATGGGGGAAAGAACACTGAATCTGTGTTATTTGCTAATGAGGTCAGACCCTGGTCCACAAGTTATAACCCATTTTTATTATCCAACTTTATGTCCAGAATACTCTTTGGCAGTGGTGTATTTAGGTGACCCCTGTGAAAGGGTCATTTGACCCCCAAAGGGGTTGTGACCCACAGGTTGAGAACCGCTGCTCTATGGTATGGTATGGGAAATCCATAGAATTACCTTCAAAAATACACTCTCTGCTCACAGCATTATTTACAATAATGGAAACAACCCAAATGTCCATCAACCGGTGAATGTAAAAACAAATGTGGTATACCCATACAATAAAATCTCTCATTTGGCAATACTAATACACAGACAAGCCTCTAAAATATTATTTGAAGTGAAAGGAGCCAGATGCAAAAGACCACGTATTGTGTAGTGCTATATATACGACATTTTTAGAAAAGAAAATCTAGAGACAGAGATCAATGGTTTGCCAAGAGCTCATGGTAGGAATGGGAACTGACTGCAAATGGGCATAAGGGATTGCTCTGGGTCTGTAGAAATGTTCTGAAACTGGGTTGTGGGATGGTTGTATAACTCTGTAAATTTAGTAAACTATCATTCAGTTGTAGTTTTATGGTACAGTACATTATACTTCAATAAAGCTCTTAACATGTATCCTAGTGGGTACAACAAAAAGAAAAATGTATTATATTCTGTCTAGAATAAGACATATCATTGAAATAATCAAACACTACATTTCAGGTTCTAAATAGGATACCAACCAAATTTTTGTAAATAGAGTTTACAGCCACAACAGCATTCCATTAACAATGTGAAAGTTCAACTAAGTCAAATTACAACTTCATGCCACAACCCATAGCTTATTACAAAGACTAAAACTTAAAATCAAACAAGGTATCTTAACACTTCTAATAATTATTGGCCTGTATAAACTGGAAATGCTAAAACAATATTGTTTAAATTGTATGGTTAAAAATAAAAGGTAGAACAAGGTAACTTCAAGGTAGATTGACTGAACACATGCACATTCCTCCTGAAATCCCACTAAAACACCAAAGGGATTTTTAAAAACATGATTAACAATTAGGCCAAATAGAAGAGAGACAAGTATCAAAACTTTCGAAGTTGAAAAGCAGATGGATTAAATTGTAACTCAGCAAGCCCTAGAAACTGAACTTCAACTGGGATGCAAATACTTTTAGAAGGATGGCCGAAGGGAGACCATCCTCTGATCCCAGCAAAAATCTATATAGAGATTTAGTCTTTAAAAAAGTGAATAAAGTAGTCTCTGACCTTGGGGACAGCAGAAATGACAGGAATACTGTACTGAAAATTTTTATAAACAGAGTACTAGGATACTTCTCCTGTCTCATAACCTCATCCAGTCCTGTCCTTACATTCAGCTCCCAACTAGGCCTGTAGATTTCCAGGGAAAATATATGAAAATTCTTTTTGGTAATTCCAACTTAAGAGATTTAAAAAAAAAAAAAAGACTAAACTACTGTCATAAGGATAGGTTTTCCTAATGGTCAACAAGCCTATCTGTTCACTCAGAACTCCTGGGTTTTTTTTTTAATCTTTTATATAGACCGATATATAGATAACTGCACCTCAACACAGACGTCTTTATAAATTATAAAAGCAACATCAGGTGTTACCATGCTATGGCACCCTTCAGATCATCTCTGACTTCCACAGTGCAATGATAAGATAAAAGAGGATCATTTTCTTTAGTGTACGTGTTCACCTGCATTTTGAAAAACTCTATAAAAAGGAATACTAGGAGTGCCAAGAGTTCTAGAAAACTACTAAAAATATACTAAACAAAGTCTAAGTTTGGGAGAAAAACTGAGAAGACCTCCAAGAAAACAGAACAAAAAAAAAAAAAAGAGCGATAAAAAATAGAAAAAAGAAAAGAAAATGAGAAAATGGAAAAAATTTTAAGGTCTATAAGGTTTCAAAAATTTAACTCTCATATACACTTTTTTTTTTTTTTTGGAGACAAGAGTCTCACTATGTCTCCTTTGGTAGAGTGCCATGGCCTCACAGCTCACAGCAACCTCCAACTCCTGGGCTTAAGGGGTCACAGCTCACAGCAACCTCCAACTCCTGGGCTTAAGGGGTCACAGCTCATAGCAACCTCCAACTCCTGGGCTTGCTTCAGCCTCCCAAGTAGCTGGGACTACAGGCGCCCGCCACAACGCCTGGCTATTTTTTGTTGCAGTTGTCATTGTTGTTTAGCTGGCCTGGGTTGGGTTCAAACCTACCAGCCTCGGTGTATGTGGCTGGCGCCGTAACCACTATGCTATGGGTGCTGAGCCTCACATACACTTTTTTGGGAAGCTTGAAGGCTGTGCCTCACTCACAAAAAAGAGAGAGACCAGTAAAGATAACATGGGTCATACATAGGACACAAAGACAGAACCCAGGGAAGAAGAAAATACAATCCTGAGGAAAGGCCAATAGTTGTTTTCAGGAAAATTATCATAGGCCACACAAAGAGAAATTCATGCATTAAATGATGTGTCTGACAATGAGGGATTCAAATATTCAAAATAAAGCCTGAATTTAGTGATAAGGACATAGAAAATTAGGTAAATTGGCCTGGCGCCTGTGGCTCAAGTGGCTAAGGCGCCAGCCACATACACCTAAGGTGGCGGGTTTGAATCCAGCCCGGGCCCACCAAACAACAATGATGGCTGCAACCAAAAAATAGTTGGGTGTTGGGGCGGGCGCCTGTGGTCCCAGCTACTTGGGAGGCTGAGGCAGGAGACTCACTTGAGCCCAGGAGTTGGAGGTTGCTATGAGCTGTGATGCGACAGCACTCTACCCAGGGGAATAGCTTGAGGCTGTCTCAAAAAAGAAAAAAGAAAGAAAGAAAATTAGGTAAATAAACAAGTTAACAAATCCAGGGAAAAGAGCTGGTAATGAAAGGAGTGGCTATAGCACACTGCATGACACAGTTGAAGATACCTTTCACACAATCAAAACACTAACAAAATCCAGTCAGAATGGGGGAGGAGGAAGGGTTTATGGGACAGTTGGGCTAGAAAGAGCAGGTACCTCCTGAAGCAGGAAACAGAAAATGCCTAAAACTGAAAAGTCACTAAGTCATAATACAGGCATGTTATTTGGAAATATAGAAGAACATTTCAAAAGAATCATTTAAGAACTGAATTAATAGTTACTTGGGAGGTGCGGGGTACCTGATGTTTTTTCAGTTTTGTAGAAATGTGTAACTACTTTTAAACTTAGTGTATATACATATAGAACTTGTACACATTCTATTAAAAAGGCTACAAAAATGTCCAGAAGAGAACCAATCTGAAAAAGGAATGTGTATCTTTCATTTCAGAGAAAAATAAAATCAGAAACCTGTCCATTCATAAAAGGGCCCCAGTACTTTCTTGGCAATTAAAGCAACCCTAAAACAACGGCTAAAATTTGGATGGTAAGTTGATACTACAGATGCACCAATTCCAGCTTGTAGAAGCCATTTATCTCACCTAGCATTAATCATTCAGCAGATGTATCCCTCTGTGCAATATACTTCCTTCAACACAACAAGCTCGTTGCCATAGTGTCTTTGCATTCTACTCTCTGGAACTTACTTCCCAGAGCTGGTTCCTCCTCTTCCCTTGGGTCTCAGTGTGAATACCATCTACTCACAGAGGTCACCTGATCTTTCCATCTAAAAGTGCCCTGTTCCCTTTGTTCTAGGTCACACTAGAGGCCTTATACCAATCTGAAATGGTCACAAGTCCTCATCTGTCTTGCTTACCACTTTACCTCCCAGGCCTGTAAGACCACTAAGCACCCAAATACCTACTAAGTGAATTAACTTATCAGCCATTTGCCTCAACACTGCTAGTTTTAAGAGTCTTACTGCATATGTGGAAAGTTTTTTAAGAAATTTAAAGAAGTAAAAATTTGTTCCCAACCCCTTACCTGCCGTGAAAACATCAAAAATATCTTTCAAAATGCAGGTGAACACTTACACTAAAGAATTATTTGCTGTTTTTCTGATGTTCAAATTTAATTGGAAATCCTGTATCATTTGTCAACTCTAGTCAAGGGGAGGAAGGAGTAAAGAAAAAACACTGAGATGTGTGGAGGATGGGGAAGAAGTTATAGCGAGAGTGCAGCTGCTGCGGTGAGTAGGAAACTGCGAAGTCAGGTGTGTAAAGAGGAAGTTAGGATTTATTAATTTGTGTTCAATTTACCTTTGCCACCTCCCCAAAGTTACTAAAACTCTCCCTGTGCCACTTTGGGCTTGGCACACTGAGTTGTGTCTATTAAGCTTCAAGAGGCAGAAATTAAAGTGTTTCCTCCGTATTACCAGCATTGCCAACAGCGGCTGGTACAAATGTCTATTCAGCATGAAATCTAAAAGCAAAATCTACATCAAGAAGGTCAATTATTTTAACTGTACTCTAAGCAGTACTCAGCATGGTAAAGAAAAACAGCACCTTGAAAAGTTTGGAAAGGCATATGACAAAAACATATACTTACTGTTTCAAAAGTATTCAGTACCATCAAAGGGAAAAAGACATTAAAATAATCTCCACAATCTTGAAATCTGACAGGCACAGGTCTTGAGATGGACTGACAAAGACTTGCAGGGGGCCCACACTGATCAAAGTTCAAAAACATTTCATACTTCCATTTTAAGACCTCTTTAACAAAGGTATCAGAGATAGACTGTGATGACAACAGAATGTTTACTGGAGAGGAAGTTGGAAAAGATTTGTTCTCACTAAAAGGAAGTTTATAACCTGGCCTGCTAGAATTATTTGGAGTCTGAGAATGAAGAATATTGCATGGAATCTTCATTTCTCCCATTGGCTTCAGAGATATTAGAGGAGCTGGCTGTGGTACTTTCAAAATAGACTGCACCCCATTTGGCTTATTTTTTAGTGCTGAAGTACTTTCCAAAGTCTTAGACAGATTAGCAATTCGCGAAGTACTACTTGAGCTAAAAATCTTAGCAGTGGAAGGTCTTAAAGGTTTGGATGCAGAAAGGGGCAAGGCAGGTTTACGAAATACATCTTCATCTGCTGCTTTAGCTTCACAGTGTTTTGAGCAGTATACGCCCTGGTTTTTTGCGGTTTCAACACAATCTTTGTACTTACACTTTGTGCCACTCAAAGATTCCAACTGAGGCCGACTTACAGAACCTTCTTCCACCTCAACTGTATTCTTTCCAAAAACTAGTTCAATGACTTTATTATTCTCTACTTGTGAACACAAATCCATATCTTCAGGATCATTTTGTGTTAAAAATAAATTATCTGCCTCTGTATCACTGTCAGATTCAGGTTCTGCCACTTTCAAATTTGCCACCTTTGTATGATGTACTGGTAGACCTCCTCCACCTAAAGCGTCCTCTGAAGGAGAGACGAGTATTTCATTTGTTGGTATTCTTCCGTTTAACACTGTAGAATCACACTGGTTCAAAAGACAAGCATCAGTTGCCTGAAATACAGAGTTTGCTTTTACAGTTTCTGGTTCAGAAGACATGCATTTTACTAACTGTTTTCTATTATTGTTGGCAAGTACCTCCGTTCTTCCTGTATAATCTGACCTATCAGATTCTGGTACAAGCTTGTCAGAAGTCTGTGCTGTCTGTGGCCCTGCTCTTGTAGTATCTGTACTTTCACAATCAAAACCCCCTCGTCTATTTTTTTTGGACTTGGATCTCATCTGCCTTTGCAACTGCAGATCTTGACTGGTTAAGAGTTTCTTGTTATTTTTGACAGTTAGAGTCTGAGGAGAAATTAATTTAGTCTTTTTTCTGGTATCAATTACTCCAACACTTTTGCCATGATCACGTAACTGAACTAAATACTCTAAAGATCGCTGAGACAACTCAAATGCCTTACGAGGAGCCTTTTTCAGACCAAGTTTCTCAACTGTTGAGGCTGGCTCAGGACAGGGGCGAAATTTCTTTGGTGGCACTATTGCAGGAGTTGTCCTACAACTTAAGTAATTTAAATTTTTACTCTGTCCTTTTTTGGCATCTGAATGTGCTGCTCTCTTGGAGGTTTTAGAAAGTGGACCTCTCCTAACGGGTTCTGAATGATGAGGCTTTGGAGAAGACTTCTTTGGTGTAACCGTAGTGGCTCTCTGAATATTTGAACTGGGAGTTGTAGGCTTTGTGTCTACACTTTTTTTGAAATCATTTTCAGGAATCTCTCTCTCAATAGGAGTATGAGACTGGTCTTCATTTCTGACAGAAGACGAAGGCCTTAGAGGATCTTCAGCCGTTGGTTTTTCAGATCGTTTTCTCTTAGGTTTTTTTACTTCAATTTCACAAATTTTCTCAACAGAAATACTACCTCTCTGTGGTTCTTTGTGTCCTTTAATGCGCTCTACTTTTTTAGTAACTTCTTCAGGTACATAATCCGTATCATAGCCCCAATCGTTTGTGATATCAGACAAATCAGTCAAACATGACTTTTTTTCTTCCTCCTGAACTGAATTCTTCTTGTTTAATTTATGATCTTGCCAAACAGAAAACATTTCAGATGAACTTTCAAACTCAAAAGACTGAGAATCAGATTCCTCAAAATCCAAAGACTTTGTTTGTTCCTCCTTTATTAGCTTCTTTTCCACATTACTATTAACTATTGAAACACACTGCTCCGGATATTCTTTCTTAATGCATATTTTGTCCTGTTTAATGTGTTTCTCAAGACCCAGAATTCTTTCATCATCATCATCATCAGAATCCGAAATAATAATAACCTGTCCATGGCAGGTGTCTCCAACATTATTCTGGTTAGCTGTGAAACATCTTTTATCATCTTTTACTTTTCTTTGGAGCTGGGATGGGCTTTTTTGAGTTGAATCTGATGGAAACTTAATAACACTGGCTTGAGCTATTAAAGATAATTTGTGGAGGTCTCTGTCTACCTGAGAATCCGTTAAGATATCAGATTTAGCACTGATGTCAGGTGCTTGTTCCCCTGTCAGGTTAGAAGAAATCAGATCAATACTCTTACTCCTTTCCTTATCTCTTGATTCAAGTACAGTCACTGGATCGTTAAAGGGAGACATTTTCTTCACTAAATTATCGGTCATTTCTATAAATGAGACCAAATCTTTATCATCAAGATGACATTTCTGTATTTTAAAACTGTTTTCATTTAAAGAGAAAATACCCAACTCTTCATTCTTTAATTGTTTCTTTTTTGGTAATAAACTGTTTACAGAATTTTGTTCTCCATTTTTATTATCATCCAGAATACCATTAGGATCTACAGACAGGTTGTGTATAAAGCTGTCCCCTTTCTGAACTCCTGTATCCTTCCTTACATAGAAACTCTCAGTGTTAGATGCAGTTAGGTTTTCCTCTAAACTGATAGCATTACCGACCAAAGTACTTTTCCTGTGTTGCTTCTTTATTACATGTGATAATTTTGCACAGATTTCATCTTTCTGTGCCTTAGTTTTTGGTTTTGAGGTTTTACCAAGAGTATCATCCTTTAAAGAGAAATCCTCATTTGATGTAGACACTTTCTCCAGAGATTCAGCACTAGAATCAGTCAACAAATGTGTTGGTATTATTATTCCTCTGTCACTTCCCTTTTTTGGGTCATTTCTTGAAGTACAATTCTGTGGTATATACGAGGAATTCTCTTTTACAGACTTCCGCTTCCCTCTACTTATTTTAACTCGAGCTTTAGCTTTTTCAGTATGAAGGCTTATACTACTCTGCTTTAAACATGACTCAGCTGAGAGATGGTCTTCTAGTTTCAAATCCTTTATAATATAATTATCCTCATCATCCTCTTCTTCCATAGTGTTACTTGCTTTGATCAGTGTACTCTCTGGCACTTGATATATATCACCTTTCATTGGTTCTTTAGAAAATGTTGGGCTGGAATTTTCCACACAATGAATATCTTTTATAGACTTCTTCCCTATTTCTTCACTTTCTTCTTTATTGTAAGATGCAGGAGGGGTTTTACCTGCCAGAGTCAGATCCACCAAAGTGCTACATGGAGGTACTTTTGATTTTATGTTTCTAATAATTTGTTTTAAACAAGCTTGTAATTCATGGGTCTCCTGACTAGTCAACTGCCAACCTAGAGATAAATTTCCCCGAAGGAATAAGTTAAGCTTATCCCAAAATCGTTTACAAATAGTTTGCTGTCCAAGCTGATAACCTTCTTTAAGGAGACTTCTAATCAGCTGCACACAAGCAAGCTGTACAGAGTTAGACGGCATTGAATGCAGTGACAGTGATGATATGATTGCCGTTCCTTTGGAGCAATTTCCAGATGACTTCTCAGAACTCCGTGCAAATGCAGTGGTAGGAAGTTTGGAACATTTCACAACTACTTCCACCCACTGCTGGGAACTACTCCATAGCAAATGCAAACATTTTTTATTTCTGTGCAGTTCAATCACTGATACCAAAATTAGAAGAAAAAATTCAGTGACTTTGTCACACACAGCATCTGCTTGGTTGAGAACATCTTTGACTTCGGAGTGCAGATGATGAATAACCTCTGCTATGTAAGCAACACCCAAATCTTTAAGATCCATGAGAGACTGAACAAAAGGTATGAACCACAGAAATGTGCTGTTATGAACACGCATGTCTTGACCGATATCTGACTGAAGTACATTGGCTAATGTTTCCATTTCTTCATACATGTTAGGACAATAATCTGGGCAAATGGCAGATCTCCATCCAGAATCCTAAAATGAAAGACACTGAAATTCAGATAAAAAAGCATCATTTATGACAGCTTTAATACCCAAGTTGTAAAAAAGAAAATATATTTTTTCCATGCACTTATCTTGGTTTTTTATGTATTATTTCTGATATATATGCCACCCAAGAAATTGAAAACCCAAGTTGAATTCTGACGGTAAAGATTCATGAAAAGGCAAATTTACACCACCTTCACATAATCTGGATTTCCATTAGTTGGTTTTCATTTCTACCATGCCACTTATTTCCCCATTAATTTTTCATCTTACCTAAGTACACTTAAAAATTAATTTCCCAAAATGCATACACTGTAGAGTCCATTTTTCCCTCATGTACAATGTGGATCTGGTTCAATCAGAAGGCCTTTATGTAGCAGGTGACTCAAGACAGCTACATATCACAAAGTCAATAATTCAACTAATTATGTAAAACACTGTTTATATAAAAAAAGGCAATAAAATCACGTCAATTTTCAAAGTGTTTTATACCTTTTTGGTCTTTTCAGGATTATAATTGTATACAATCTGACTGCAAGTCACCATATCATCCAAATGTGATTCCGGTTCCAACTTGGTCCTTAAATAGCAAGAATAAATAGAAATTACTAAAATGAAGGGGGGAAAAAAACCCTCTTGTTCAGTCAATTACCACATACCTCCTTACAGAGATTATCTTACAAGCCTGACCTTAACTGCACTGACCTCACAGAGCTATTTCGGATGTTCTGGATCTCTCTATTGTAGCTTCCATTGTTGATAATGGTTTGCAATGCCTCAATAGGGTCAATACGTTGACCCCAGACCTTAGATCCCAGGCGATCCAGAATCACCATGAAACAGTGTAATGCTGGCCAAAAAGGATCCACACTATCATCTGAAATACAATGGAGTAATTGCTGAATTAGAAAACAATCAGAAAAATGTACTAAAATATATTGAGAAGCATTCTTTATCTGGTTAGCAAGAAAATTAATAGCAAAGCATCAAGTAATTTAAAGTAAATCCTTAAGAGACAAAGGTTTTTAAAAGCTGGCAAATCTTCAAAATATTTTTCAAGGGATACTATGATACCCCCATACAGAATGTTTTAACGGGCAACAAACTGTTAAATGAGCAACAAAACAGCCTGGTATGGCTTGGCACCTGTAGCTCAGCGACTAGGGTGCCAGCCACATACAAGGAAGCTGGCAGGTTCGAACCCACCCTGGGTCACCAAACAATGACAACTACAACCAAAAAATTGTTGGGTGTTGTGGCAGGCACCTGTAATCCCAGCTACTTAGGAGGCGGAAGCAAGAGAATTGTTTGTGGCTGGGCGCCTGTGGCTCAATCAGCTAAGGCGCCAGCCA